TATTGAACATCTGTGGAAAGAGCTGAAACATGCAGTCTGGAGAAGGCATCCTTCAAACCTGAGACAGCTGGAGCAGCTGGCTCACGAGGAGTGGGCCGAAATACCTGTCGACAGGTGCAGAATTCTCATTGGGGGTTACAGAAATTGCTTGATTGCAGTGATTGCCTCAAAAGGTTGTGCAACAAAATATTAAGTTAAGGGTACCTTTATTTTTGTCCAGGCCAGTTTCATTAGTTTTTTTTTTTTTAATGCTTCTGTTGAACCACAATTCAAAAGCAATGACTGATTGTCATTAGTTAATTTTCAGTAAATTTTTATTTATTATTACTTTTGTCAGTTTCACGTTATTTCAGTGACCATTGTGAGTTTCTCTTTGTTTAACAGAAGGGTACCAACAAATTTGTCCACGTCTGTATATCTGTAACATTTTGCATGTTAATTTAAAAGCCATGAATATATTAGCTCACATCAGAGTTGTTGGAGCTGAAATCCTCAAAATGTCCTCTTTTCAATTTGTTCTGTCTAAAATGTCCTTTTTTCTAATGTACTGTAGTATTTTGAATCTCTAACTAACTTTCCAAAGTGTCATCTTTGATTTTGTTCTGCAGATATGTGTACCACTAATCTTGCAGGGTAAGATGCCTTTGGCAGAGTCCTTCGTCACAGGCTGCAGTGATCTAGAAATACGTCTGGTCACACTGCTCGACTCCTGGTGTCATCCCAGCTTCAGTGTGGAAGAGCTATACCAGTATGGAATGTGTGAATGCATGAGAATCAGTTGTATATAGTGAGCCATATAGCAGTGTGGCACTGTACCAAATCTATATGGCTGTGTGTCCTACAGGAGGTTTCCTCACCTCTCTCTGTCCAAACATTGCATGGGCCAAATCCAGCCCAAAATGCTCACCAAACATGTCTTGCGACTTGTGGAGAAGTTCACCATTCAGCCAGGTGTGTGACTGGACTTGTTCTATTTCATGTGTTACGTATGTGTCTGTCTCAGGCAGAAATGTTTGTGATCTTGTCTTTATGATGCAGGATTGTGTCCCAATGCTCTGCACAAGAGGAGATTTGACTCTTTGCGATTCCTGATGTACAAGAGGTTTGTGGAGGTAAGGGCGTGCATAAGGCTTTCAAAGTTAAATAAACATAATAATATATGGTATACCAGGTATATAAGCAGTTTACTCATTAGAGACTAGCATTTTTTTTGGCTAGTACATATTCATTTTGTGTAATATTTTGGTGCATACAATCATCTCCAACACTTTTATTGAGTACATCACCAATATCTGCCTCTTTCCATTAAGCTTTTTGACTGATTTCTTGACAGCCTCATTTCTTTACTTGTCTTCCATAACCATGCTGAGAGTCTAGTTCAGTTTGGCTTCCTGGAGTTGTAAGTGAATTTGCAACTGGATATAGTGTTTCATCCTACACTGATCTACAGTATATGGTTTCCTTTTTAATTTAATTTCAAGATTTTATCTTACCTTTTTATCTGCAAACCATGTCAGGCCTTTTAATTAATTGCAGCCTAAGATTTCATGGGAAGAGTTTCCTGGATATTACAGAATGTAAGTCAAAGTGAGCATAGGCTTGGCCTTTGTGGATAAGTGTGATATACATGTACATATGAGAAGAAAGAGGACCTAGTCATCTGTGAGAAATGTTTATTCAGAATTTCATATTCTGCTGCTCAGATCTCATACTCTGGTTTTGGTTACACATATGTCAACTTTAATTACCGGTACAAATTGTTGAAATTCTGATTTTTTTTTTTTGCTAATACAATCTGGTAACAGATCTCAGTGGAATCTTCATTGATTTTATGGCATAGGATAGATCAAAACATGAACAGAGGAGGCATTTGAGGTTTACTAAAGAACGACTTTGAGTCCCAAATCTGTGGGTTTCAGAGAAAAAGAAATTCTATAGTAAAGTATTAACTAGCCTCACTTTATCTGTAAATACATACAGCATCACAGGCATTTTGCAAGAGTCTGCTGTCCCAGAAGAAAATGTAATAGAACATTCAGAGACTGACAAAACCTTGGCAGCAGTGGATGAACATGTGGGGCAAAGAACTAATGACGGAACTGCAGGGAATGAATAAGAGTAATTAAATTGGCACTTATAGCAAAACTCCCAATATAGTCTTTTTAGGATTCAGCAACTCAACACTATCAAAGTTTATGGAAAAGACAAAATTATAGTCAAGCTTTCTGGTGAGACGTTTTATTAAGAGATACTGATTTTGTCTCATTTATTGTACTTGCATTTCTTTGTATTTTTTTAGAAAAGCATGACAGAGGAGAACTGGAGTGACCATGTAGAGGTATGTTTTGCTTTTAGGTGGACATGCTTAAGGCAATATTTTGAGATCTACTGCACTATATAGGCCCCGGGGAAGACCCAGGACAAGCTGGAGGGACTATGTCTCTCGGCTGGGCCAGGAAGTGTCTGGAGAGAGGGAGGTCTGGGCATCTTTGCTTAGACTGCTGCCCCCGCGACCCGGTCCCGGATAAGCGGAAGAAAATGGATGGATGGATGGATGGATGCACTATATACTATATTTGTATAAATGAGATATGGATGATGTGTGATCCCCACCCTAACTACATATGTGTACTCTATATGTGTAGTATGTAGTGGCAGATGATACTGAACTGCAGATCATCTTGGTGAAGATGTTGCTGAAGTACTGTGGTCTTCAGAAAGCCTCTCAGTGGTCACTGAGATACAAGATCCCCAGAAATCGACTACCCCTTGGGGTATGGGAATCGCAGTGTAGTCTCCCGCCTGATCTACAGTGAGTTGGCCAGAATGTACATAAACATTACAACTTGTGATATGTACAGGCTGTACTTTTTCATGTAAAGAGGAATTGTTGCAGTGTCAGTAATATCACTGATTTGTAACAAAGCCAAAAAAATTTCTTCACCATATCCCCTTTCTCAGACATTGCAAATCATTGCGTTTTAATCTGTCTTACTGATCTACACCACTTAAGCCACAGCTGCTTAGCACTGTCTTATTAGCAAATATTACCAAATTATGTGTTTGACTATTTTCATCCATTGTGTTGTCTAAAATATCAGACTTAATATGTGTTAAAATTGTTGCCAGACTTGAAACAGAATGACGTTGATGACCCCTTGAGTCTTATAGTGGTACCTTTTTTTTTTTGCCACATGTCAAAGGTGCCATATATCTCATATGTAATTGGGACGCTAAGCTAATTCATACAGTCTAATGCTGTGCGGTGTGTGATGTATGAGTCTTTAAAAAATAGTTAATTTTATCATTTTTTAAAGCCCTTTCTGTCTGTAATGAAGTTCTCCATCCAACTTCCGCATTCATAATTTTTTTTTCTCTCTCTTTTTAATGTGCAAACTCACAAAAACACACATTTCTGGCCTCTGCTCAGACAGATACATCGGAGTGATCCAGCACAAACTGAGGAGTGGATGCCATCTCAGTCTTACTGTCAGAAGTTCTACCAGGCGCCACTGACCAAAGACAAGGTTCACTTTGTGGAGACATCAGAAGCTCTCCAGAGATGTAGAAACACTATCCTCAAGGTACAGGAAAGCAAACACCAGGAAATGTTGCTGCTTTGATAAAATGGTTTTGTGTCACTAGTTATTAATCTGTATAGTGGATGGCAGGCACTTGGGATTACTAATGAAAGCATTTATGGTTAATCTCTTAGTTTAGAAAATGTGTTTTGCTGCTCTCTTATCCATGTCTGTCTTTATTCTGTCTTAGGAAGGTGGTATAGTAGGAGTTGACATGGAGTGGCAGCCCACATTTGGCTGCATCTCATCACAGAGTGTTGCCCTGATACAGCTTGCAGTTTTTGACCAGGTTTTCTTATTGGACCTCAGTTTAAATGAATTTTGTCAACACCCAGATACTATCGGTTTTATTCGGAGCTTGTTCGCTGAAAGAAATGTGCTTAAACTGGGTAAGCAACAGTCTTGAAAGATTAAATCAAATTAATCCTTTCTGATTGGAATTTTGTCTCTTACATTTTGCTTTTTTTATCCTTCAGGTTATAGTATGGCAGGGGATCTCAAGTGTCTCTTGGCCACTTGGCACTCATTAGAGGAGCCATTGAAGATGGAGGGGATGCTTGATCTTTGTAGTGTTCACCAAAAGGTAACAAAAATCATGCTTGATAATTTAGAATTCTAATTTAAAATTCTTAAGACATTTATTTTCAGTTTATCACAATATTTAACAGCAAAGTTTGTAAGTGTTCAATGTCAAGTTTTTGGTGCAAGCTTTTTAGTTCAGATTAGTCTGATTCAACTCGACAAGCACAACTGTTTGACTGCTTGTCCATTGTGTCCCATGCAACCAGGGTTATTGTACTAGAGGACTGTGATGAATTTGCTGTGGTTATAGTCTGTGCTGTTCTTGGCTATATTTGGATGCTAGCTTGGATACATACTGTAACTACTGCTGTGGCCCATTATTTTGCCTAAGATAAATGTATTTGAACTCACAGTCCCTGCAGGGGACAGGAATGTGGAAATGGCACTTTGGGCCACAAACTGATGATGTTGCTTCACCATCTGCTGGAGTAGACTGCTTGTTGCAGGATGTGAGGAATTAAAGACATATTTTTCAAAATCATAAGGAATGCCCGGTCGAAACAGGATGTTGTGACAGGACATAAGATGGGAGGGACTGTTTAAAATTGCCAACATGTCTAGTCTGTCATAAAGTCTCCATTATTTAAAGCTAATAAAGTTGCTGTAATTGAAATCATGGAAACATTCTTTTAGTGGAGAAATTATAATTTTATGTTTGTAATGCTTTATGAAAGCTTGGTAAGGCTAACAGGACTCACAGTGGCCCTAAAGAGGTGCTAGTTGGAGAAGACTCTGCAGAAAAAGGCCTCAGTCTACTGGTACAACAGGTCCTGGGAAAACCCCTGGACAAGACAGAGCAGCTGTCCAACTGGAAGAAACGTCCACTGCGCCTCAGCCAAATTAGATATGCAGGTAAGCTATTATGCATGCACACAAACACAATGACAGGGAAACAGATGGCTGCTGTTCTTTTCACTATAGAATATCACAGATTATTTTGTTATCCCTGACGAACTGCAAACCAATAAATTCACCCCCTCTTCCTCTTTTTCCTCCCTCGTTTCTTAACCTCTTCCTAGTGGCAGATGCCTACTGTTTGCTGGATGTGTATTCTGTCCTCTCCAGCAACCCAGCATACTTTGGGCTACCAGCGGACCTGCGCAGCATCTCTACAAGCCAATCAGAGAACAGTGGAGACAAGAAAGAGAAACAGACCAAACAGGGGAAACAGGCCCTTGGCAAAGAGGTTGGTGGTAATTTGTAATTTTTTCATAGAAACTGATGTTATTGACAGAAGCAATGCATTTTTATGAAATTGCAATGGACAGCAAATGGTTTGAAGTTTCTGATGTGAAGATAAATAAATAAAAGACACAAAGAAAACCTCATTCTTTTCTCCTGTTTTTCTAGATAGATGTCAGACAGATGTTTTTCATAGAATAATAGGTTGAAGTCAAGAGAGGGCACTTTCATTAAGAGACAAGAAAATATACAAGCCAGAATCCATTTACTGCTTGACCTGTTCTTGACCTGAACCGACATGTTTGTGTTTGAGTCTGAATAAGTGTAATATGGTTTTGGTTTATTAGAAACATTGTTATGTTAGGAGCTAGATTTGAAACAAGGAAACTGAGATGGTGTTGGCATCAGAGAAGGATTTTTAGGTAATTTGAAAAGGACAGTGCCTAAAAGGTTTTTCCTTTAATTTGCAAAACGTTAGTCTTTTTCTTTGCACATCTTTAAAGTGTGCAGTCAGCAGAGCATTGGCATGGCTATTTCTGATGTGTGTTTAACTCTACAGGCTGCAAATGTTAGTGAAGTCGAGCCAACCCTTTTTCTGAGCAACTGTTGTGCTAATACTTTTCACAATTCTTAGTTACTGTATATACTAATCTTCAAGCTTCCAAATGAATACATAGCGTCCAACTGAAAAACCTGGGTCTGAGCATCCAACCTACAGAATTGTAGTTGTGTAACTCATCCTGTGCTTTGACCTCCCCCCCACACACACACACACACACCGGGGCTCAGTTAAGTATCACATTGTCATCTATGTCCATTTAGGATTGTCAGGGGGATCAAAGGGTCAGTCCAGCTCACTGTGACTCAGAGAAAGGCCACCTGTGTGGCGAGAAGCCCTCAGAAGACTCCCCCCCTCTGCCGCCCCAGCAGTTGCGAGTGGTATGTGACAACATGCTACAGGGACTTGGGAGGTACCTGCGCTGTTTAGGAGTCGATGTGGTCATGTTGGAGAACACTGATGATCACAGAGTAGCAGCAAAGGTGACTTAGTAGACTGAAAACATACAGAGACAGTAGACATACAGAAAGATGTTAAAGAAAAATACTAAATATTGTAGATAACCAATAATTTCTGTCTAATCTATACTGCGTTCATTTGATGTGCTCTTTTATTGTGCTATGTTTTGCTTTGTGTCAGTTAGCACAAGCGGAAGGCCGTGTCATTCTCACGTGTGGACAACCATACCAAAGTGTAAGCACTGACTAATGTGAACTCGGAACCAAATCTCAAATCTACAAACTTATGATTCATTTTGTGTGTATGCTCTTGTGTGTGTTACTTGTTTGCTAGTATACATATGTTACCTGTGTCCCCCCCCATATTTATAGTTGCGGTCCCAGGTGGGAGAGGGTTGCTGTCTGTCCCTAGACTGTACAGAAAAGGCCAGAGACCAGGCTGTTCGAGTCCTGAGACACTTCAACATCCAGCCCACTCCCGGTGATATATTCAGCCGCTGCCAGGTAGAAGGTTTGAGCAGATTCTGAATGTGTTTTTAAAATTAACCTTAGATAAACTTCATGGCTGTCGGTCTCTGTCAGTGTTCTAGCTAAAATAATGCCAGTGATTATCATTACGTACACATAAATACATGATGAGGACAGTGAAGGCTGAGAATGTTACAGTAGGGCCACCAAAGTCTAAATGTACATTCAGACGGATAACAACTCTGCATTACAAAAGCAAAGAGGTTGCTTCGATGGGGGTGTGTTTTTGCAGGTGCCGGTGAGACAATGAAATGTCATCTAGGAAGACCAGTTTGTGTAACAGATGCCAAAAATGCAAATTACATACAAACAGTTGCACAGTTATTCCAGCACATTACGTACTATGGATTACACTCATGGTGTTTGTGTTCATCTGATGCTCACATACACAAGTGCTTTCGCTGAGAAAGAGGAAAAGCTTGAGTTCCTAGATAAGTGAGAAGTACAAGCAACATGAAGTTCCAGGCAATAGTTCTGTGGTTATAAACACTGCTGAACTCATTAAGTTCTTGAATTATGAGAACAAAACTTGTGGTGGCTGTGGTATATTATGCAATACTGAATAAAAGGGGAAGAAAATAATGCATTATAAGGGAAATGGAGAATGACAAAACCCTGAGAAATGTAATGTTTGGAGTGTTGTTAATGAGGCAACAGACAAAGGTGAGGGTCATAACATGCTGGATAGTGCCATAGGCCATGCTTTACAACTTTCATATAGTTTGGCCAGCCTCTGTTCACTCTTGAATCAAACCCTTGCATAAGGACTGGAGCCGTCTTTTCCTGTATTTTCTAGTTGGGACATGGTTGTATTAAGGTCAAGATGGTGCCTATTCATTCCTCTGAAAGGTGCTCAGTGGTGCATACACTGAAAAAAATCTTCATGCTCCAGGATTCCAGATACAAAAATTACCCAGACTTTCTGCACGCTTCCATGCCATTGCTCATAGAGCATGTGCACTTGCATTGGGCCAGGTCTCCTGCTGTTTGAGTTGGCTGACTTCCAGTAGGCTCACTAATGGGATAAAATAAAAAATATTATACAGCTCGACTAGACTTTCAAAATGGTATTGGACCCAGTGGCTCAAATTCTGATAACAAAATGAGTCATTCTGTGGCTTTGTGATGCTCAGAAAAATGTATTCACTGTTTTACAGCTGCTCTTTTTATGCATCATATGATGAATATGAAAGTTGTAGTAATGCAGTTCGGCCACTGTGCCAGATTTGCTTCACAGCCCGGAGCTGTTCTTGGTGACTGTAGTGGCTATAATGACCGAAAAAATAATATTGCAAATGCAAGCAGCCAAAAAGCGATGAACATTACTGATAGGATGTGGGACTCTGACATTTAGAAGAAGACTGAAGTTTAGCTACTGCTCCTTCATATTGAAGGTACAGTAGATATTCAGGGACATTCAGGTGTCTGCTTAGTATGTGCCGTGGTTGCCTCCCCCCTGTGGAGGTATTCTGGGTATGTCCAACTGGGAGGAGACCCTGAGGCAATTTAGCTCCCAGAGTGCAACTTCAAATTGGGGGGAGGGCAGTGGAAACAAATGCAGAACCTGTGACTAGCATTACACAGCTCAACATGCTACTGTGAAATGGATGAATGACAAAATAAATGGAAAAATAAAGTGAGGCATTTACTAAGGAATTATTCCCCATATGGTGTAAGCACAAAGAGTTTGAGGATAATTTAACCACCAGGGGAAAAAAAGTTGAAATTGGAGGAGAAGTGAAACTGGATATATTTTTATATGTTAAAATATACTTCAGAAACCTTTCAGTATCATGTTCTTCTTTCTTAAGTTACACAAACATTAGTGTGTAACGATATGCATAAAGATGCCATGAACTTTTTTTTTATCATGTCTGTGAATCCTGGCAAAGATTATTGTTAGACAGTTACTATCAATGGCTATAGTAAGTATGGTACTTGACCTGGAGATATCTCCATGGGTGGCTGATTAGTTAAATCTGTGTGAGAGCTGTGACGGTTGTGTTTGTGTTGGTATGTGTGTGAAGGCTGTGGTAGTGACTGGGAGGGGTACACGTGCAGGACAGTTTCTAAACGTGGGTGTTCTGGCTCTCACCCAGTAGGGGGTCCCAAATGTGTCAAGATACACCACTGGGTGCATTTGTTTCAGAGCCATAATGTTTAAGACCTGGACCACCTTAATGCCTCCTCTTGTCTTGATGATGTGATGACGACACACAGACACACTCCCACACACACTAAAAACTGTCTAAAATGACCAGTGGCCAAATGGTCATTATACTATGTTCCCAGTTTATTATTCACTCCTGGTGCCACTTCAAGAGGAAGTCACTTTGATATATTATGGTCACAGGAAAGCCAAATGTAGGCTCTAAAATCATTTAGTGTGTCACAGCACTGCCTCAAATCTTTCCCATAAGACACGAGACCTGAGAAAACCTTTATCCTAGGGTGTCATTAATGTTTTTTACAACCTTTACAGCCTGTTTTAAAAAGAATCAGTGGAATTGACCCACCCTTTCTCTGTCTTTTCCACTAGTCACTGATAATTTTATGGAACTGAATATTGTCTTCATTATCATCTAAAAACAAAATGTATAAAGTATATTTAAGCACCTTGCCTTAAGATTGTAGGCTATAGACTTTTACTAAAATAGTCAGAGTATTAGTTAATGTCAGATTAAGGTGGACGTGATTTGTGTGTAGAGATGTATATGTGAGAGAGAAAGTGTTTCACTCTCGGCAATGCTCTACGGCCCACCCAGGCAAAATTAACCCCTTTGTTATCTGATTGTAAAGCAATCTGTTTAACAGTGGATGAGCTAGCTTCTTTCCCTTTGTCTTTATGTGTTTCTTCCTCCTACACTTAACACCACTGATGAATGTTGTGAGGAAAGAGAAGTAAAAGAGCAGACAGAAAATAGATTAACCACAGGCTTGTTCAGGGAAAGGGTTAATGTTTGTCTTTATGTATCAATAGGCGCCACAGAGATTTTAGAGGCACAGGAATGTCTGTCCACACCATGGAGACCCTAATGCTGCATTTCCACTATTGGAACCTTACGAGAATTATACCTCATACTTCCCTTAACCATCACCAAGCATAGCCTCTGGCCTTGACGAGGCCCGTCCTGCTTTGTGTTTCCACTGTATTTTCTCTCTGTCGGTCCCTGTTTAGAGGAGGGAGGAGCTGCTCCCTTCTCACATACGCAGTCAGCTGTGTGTCACTTGGTGCTTATAATGCTAATGCTTGAGGTGTGAAGACACGGACATTTAACCAGTCACTGGTGATTGCGCAACACACATGCACCCCCTTCCCTTGCACAGTCCTAGTGCTTGATTTTAGTACTACCACCTGAGGGGTGCTGAAATTTAACTCCCAGAACACACCTCCAAAACAGGCGCACCATATTGGAAACAAACGCATAACCCGTGACAGGCGTTACTCGGTGTGACACGTTTTGGTACAGTCCTATAATGGAAAAACCCCTTAAGAGGGACTGGGTGATGTAGGAGGGCCTTGTGTGTATGCTCATATTTGTACGATAAAGAGGGGGGGGAAACAGCTTGGCAATTCTATAATTTTTATGATTTTATGTGTTGTTCCAAATCATTTATCATCAGTGTGGCTCTGAGAAAACTTGGCTCCAGAAAACTGGGTGTCATGTAATTTTTTTTACAAGTAATTTGAAGGAAACATTTATTTGTGTATTCATTGTAAAAGAGGCAGAATCACATTAACCTCAACTCAAATCTAAGGACAGGCTTTGCAGACTAGGTACGCTGTAAGTCTTGTGGCAGAAGTGTACCACACAGGATGAATGGGATAACCCACTGAGAAACGTCCTTTAGAATTTCAAGATTAGTATTTCACAGAAATGCTGCAATTAAAGTCAAATAATTGTTGACAATCCTTAAAATTATTAAATTAAATACTTTTTTTTTTTAAATGTATATTCTGTTTGCCAGTTGCTACCGAAATGCACTTGTTTCTGGTATTGTAGACAGGCTTATACCATTTTCAGTTGTTTATGTGAGAGAAAATGAATCCATTTGGCTCCCTCTGAAGTAAATATTGTTGCTGTTCAAATAAGACACTTCTACGTGACTGTTGTTAAAGCTACACTTAATGTTTCATCTTAGCTTTGGCACAAATGAAAACTACTTGATGTGAACACAGTACTTGGTTTAATATTTATTTGTGAAATAAATACACATTTATTTAAAAAAAATTAGTTTTTCCACAATGTTACTATTTGCTTAAAAAAGTGACTCTTTTAACCTCTAAATGACTCAGAAGTATATTAAGGAGGATGGAGTATACTGCATGTCACAGCACTGTATGTAACTTCAATTTAATCTCTCTGGATTCTTCCAAGAAGTTGGGTAGGAGGGTGGAGTTGGGGACTGATCCATTTCAGTTTCCTTATTCAGCTATATCTTTTCCCTGCCACTAACCTGCTGTATCTATACTTTCCATGCGCACACACACACACACACGTCTTTAGGGTTGTGTGTTCCCTCTGATGTATCATACTGCCCTTTTATAGACATGTTGAGATAGCAGAGATTTGCCAAAGAGATAGACATGAAACCAGCCAAACATACATACAAGTATACACACTCAACCCCCCCCCCCCCAAAAAAAAACCTGCCTAAAACATACACATACAACACACCTCACCTCAGCACCTTTACACACACTCAGCACTTGAGAGCACATTAACTCGGTCAAGTATGCACACACAGTCAAACTCAGTCATAGACACTCTCGCTGCAGAAATGCTGGTTCCCACGCACCAGACTACTGGGGAAGTGAAAACAAGAGCAACAGGAACTGCCACACTGTGTGAGGGAGGGGTGGGAGAGATGGGGGGAACAAAAATGATGGCAGCGAGGACAAAAAAGATGAATGAGAAATAGAACAACCATGAAAGAAAATGACAAGGAGCCAGTGAGTCAGAGATGGGGAGAAA